TCAACGATACATATAAATATTTTTACGACAGCGGAAATCACGTGACGCTGGTAACACGTCATGAGTTTATAGAAGGATCATAACTGTTCCTGGCAACGCTGGTGTTTGCCAGGAGCCCTCTATTTTAATATATAAGCCCGGCAAATAAAGGGAGACAATAATTGCAGATAGCAGATTGAAGAGAGTAAACTCCAGTAAAATCTCTGTCGTAGGTGACTCAATGTCTTCTTAACTCCGAGATGTCCTCCTGTTAAATTATCATGGGATTGACGCAGCACAACTTCCCGTAACGTTTTCCGTATAACTGTTTGTCAGGTCGTCACTTTCCCATCTGCAGTTGTCCTCAAGCTGTTGCTGAGGGATCAGTTTGTAGACGCCTTGGTCAGTCCACAACTGAAGATACAAGTAAAGCAAGCACACCCCTCTACTATGTAGGATGCAATGGCCAGAGCTATTGAATTCAAATCCTATGTTAAGTCCAGCACAGAGGTACCAAAGTTGGTACAATCATCAGGATTCAAGACTAGAAAAGGTCAGCTTTCAGAGAGGTTTGAGGGACTTTGCTGGCACTGTAACAAACTTGGGCATAAGAAAGCTCAATGCTGGAAACTTCAACATAGGGAAGATGCCACGGCAGGAAAGGCTGCTACCCAGAAAGGTTGTTGGAACTGTGGAGAGCAAGGACATATGCGGAGCCAGTCTAAGAAGAACACTACCAATAAGTCAGCCTCGGGGAAACCAGTAATGATTGGTGTTGAGGGATGCCCACCAACCCCCATCATGAAGTCCCAACTGCTAGGTGTAAAATGCCAAGCAAACATAGTGACTATGTGACAGGAAAGCTGGATGGCCAAAAGTGCAACATTGTCATAGATTCTGCATCTCAGCTGAATCTTGTGAGTATGAAGGTGCTGGATCACAAAGGAGTACCAGAAGCCACACAGAAGCTCTGTGGTGTGACAGGATATTATTCAAGGTTGTGGGGGCCAGTGTGTGTAACTATTGAGCTCGTGGGCATGAAGGACAGACACAAGTATACTTGGCTGACATTGAAGACCAATACATATCAGGGTTGGACTACTTACTACTGAGGAAGTGTGTAGTTAATTTTGATAAAATGAC